GACAATCGTCAATCTGAGTCAAGTCAAGTCATCAGGTCAACCGGTCAACTCGATTAAACCTTGTGTATTAGGGTTTGTGTTATGTTCGTACTGTATAACTTGCTATATTATGGGAAAACATCACTTGAGAAAAGTCTCGTGTTAAAATTTCCTAAGCCCTAGTGCTAATCAATGAACTAAACTGATAAAACCATGTTGCATACTCATTGGGAGTGTGTGGATCCTTTAACATGACTTAACGGGGCTCAAGAACTTGCATTGCGGAGCCAAACACTCACAAATGCCACACTTGAAATCTCTCTCAAATATCTCTCTGTATGAGAAATCTCTCCAAGAATGTCAAATCTCTCCCATATCTCTCCAAGTATGTGAAATCTCTCTCAAATATCTCTTTGTATCAGAAATCTCTCCAAGAATGTCAAATCTCTCCTAAATCTCTCCAAGTATGCGAAATCTCTCTCAAATATCTCTTTGTATGAGAAATCTCTCCAAGAATGTCAAATCTCTCCCAAATCTCTCCAAGTATGAGAAATCTCTCCCAAATCTCCCTCAAATAGTTCCCGTAACTTTTTAGAATCATTAGGGTCATTCCGGCCCTTAACCGGGTCAAAAACGGCTTAAAACGGGGTGAAAACGAGAAAAATAGGCTTTAGGAACCGAAACCAAGAAGAGAGGCTTCTTAGGCGAGGACCGAGCCTCTGTTGGCTGTGGCATGCGAGGACCGAGCCTCTGTTGGCTAAAGAATGCGAGGACCGAGCCTCTGTTGGCTGTGGCATGCGAGGACCGAGCCTCTGTTGGCTAAAGAATACGAGGACCGAGCCTCTGTTGGCTAAATGCACGCGAGGACCGAGCCTCGGTTCTCTGTCGCCTCATCTGCTCCCTTCTTCTCGCTCTGTCTCTACCCGCCTCTCTGTCTCTTCCCTACTCTCGGTCTCTACTCCGCCCCTCTGTCTCTTCGCGCCCTCTGTTCTCTCCTCCCCCCTCTCGGTTCCTTCCCTCTCTCTTCCCTCCTCTCGGTTTCTACCCTCCCTCATCTCGGTTTCAGCACCAGAAGGCCGAACCTCGGCCAGACTTCGGGAATTTGTCACTTTTAGCCCATTTTTGATATTTTTGACATTTTAAGCCCGTTTTTCGTGATTTTAAAGCGGGATTTTCTCCAGAAATTATATTTTAACATAATAAACTCTAAATATTCATAATTTAAACATATTTTTATGAAAATCATTATCTAAATAATAAAGATCTAATGTGGGATTTATTTAAGGTGGAGTGTTGACTTTGCCTTAACTTATGACACAAGCAACCACCCCACACCCACTCTATGACCAGCCATACCTCCCCACCTTACCTATGTAACTTCAATGTCCCCTTACACTAAAATTTCACTCACTCCCACGTTTTTTTGAGCTGGAACAAACAACCACACTCCTCATTTTCTCTCATTTCTCTCATTCCACTAAGTAACAAACACCACTTTTCTCTCAAACTTTTTCTTCACAAATTTTCGAGATTCAAGGCTGATTTCAAGTGTTCTTCCACTCTTAGTAAGTAAAAATTCATCCTCCCTATTATTATTTCACTTCCTTCTACTCAAATCTTTGATTGCTTACACAAACTCCATAACCATAATGTTAGATTTTCGAAAACCTTCAAGGCATCTCCAAGTGTTCTTGAATTAAACACTTCCATTCTTCAACAATCATCTACTGAAATCACTTAAGGTGAGTTCATACCCCTACATTTTCATGTTTTCTCAAGTTTTCAGGGGGGAATACAAGTTAAAACACCAAGAACATAACTAAATTTTTCTAACAGTCTTCATCAGAAAAGTTCAACTCCATTCACGGACTGTTTTGGGCATCTTAAACATTTTTGTTTTCAAAACTGTACAAGGTTCAAATATTTCATGTTTGTAGCTTTAAAATGACTACTTGCACATCTCCATACGATTTTTCTACAATTTATGGTGATTTTTACAAAACTGCCTATCATTTCAAACAGCAATCCGGACCAGTCTGTGATTATGGACTTCTTCACACAAGTTGAAGGTCATTAAAAATCGTGATAAAAATTATGAGTAAACTAGACACATTTTTTGAACTCTCAGAATTTACGGATCTAGTTTTCGACTTCGTATGATTTTTCTATGATTTTTCCAAAACAGGGCAGAATGGCTAAAGTTAGCCAACAGCATGTAAATATCATAACACTTTGTATTATGTTGAGCAAAGTGTATAATCATAAGTTCTAATATTTGAATGTGTTTCCTTGTTAGTTTATCATTATGAACTGAAACTAAGTCATTCATACTAAATATTATTCATTCATTTTGGAACACGTATTATTTAACTATAAAAAGTATAGTTTGATAAATTCACAACACTAATACATTTCCATAAAAGAATTCATACATATTACATACATTTTAGATAAACTATAATAGGTATAGTTTATGATACATCACTCAACACACTCGTACAAAAAGGGTACATTCATACAAGAAAGATTTATATTCACACACATTTCACGTAAACTTGTTAACCTATGTTGTGAGACTCACTACAAGAAAAAAGGCCTTTTACGACGCGCAAAATACGACGCTCATTGATCTATGTTACGCAAAGGAGAGTGACATTAGAAAAATGTCATCTCTTCAAAAAATTTAAGGATAGAAGACACGCATTATTGCGCGCCCTTAAATTAGTGTCTAAAAAAAACACGGAGGGCACCTATAATAAAATGCACGTCGTCTAAGGATGTCGCTTTATAATTTTTAATGGAACGCGCGTTCCATCCTTTAACAGTAGGGGGAAATGAAATTCTGAAAAAATTAAAAATCCCGCCTTCCTTTTTTTTCTCCTTTCCCTCTTGCCCTGGACGCTCCTTCCTTCCCCCTCCCGACATTGACTGCTGCTTACTTCTTCCCTCACTTCTACCTACTGGAACCACCATATCTCCCACTCGATGTTGAAATTGTTAGAAAAAGCCCTAATTATACTCTCAAGTCTAAATACAGAAAAAATAGAAGATGGTGAAGAAGTAGCAGTAGAAAAAGCCCTAATCGGAGGTGGTCCTGTTCTTCATTGTTTCTTCGATGTTGAAATTGTTAGAAAAAGCCCTAATCGGAGGTGGTCCTATTCTTCCTCCCACCACGATTCCCAGCTTTTGTTCGCCGGAACACCGATTCCACCGTGGTTTCTGATCCACGCTGACCAGTCGTCCCAGTCTTCAACGATTTTCTGCCATTCAAATCCGGATGGGTTGAAAAGAAAAGGGGCGAACAGCCACGACACGACTAGGAACCACATTGAGATGGTTAGGTGGCTCTGTATTTGGCGCCGCCGTGGAGAATTGTGCGACCGAAATAGTGAAGTTTGGTGCCAAGAGAGAAGGTGAAGAAGACAGCGGAGAGCTGGAGGTTCATGATTATTAGACACACACACACACACACACATAATTGAATTCCATTTCTAGGGCAATAGCAGGCAACATCGACACACTCTAAGATTGCAACCTTCTCACCGTCCGTCTGTTTGGTATGTCTCCTCCCAACGTTGATGGTGGTGTTGCCGTCTCAACTACTCATCTCCTCCACCACCGCCTTCCATTCCATCTTTGTTTGCTCCCAATTCCATCTTTGTTTGCTACGTGTCCATCATAAATGATTTTTCTTTTTGTTTTTTTTTTCTGGCAGAGGGACGTCAACTCAAGAAGGGGCGTCAAAATTTTGAAATTGGAGATGGAAAATTTCTGCTTTCGTCTACGTCTTCTATGTTCCATTGTCGGATCTAACCACCTCCGTATCCTCAACGATCGCCTGCAATATGGTTGATTTTGTTGATGGTTTGAAGGTTTAGGTTCAATCGATTGTCCTACTCCAGCCATGTCACTTTCTTGGCGGATTCAGTTAGATTCCCTCGACCTTCGAATTTCTGGACCTGTAGATCGATAGGTGCGATGGTTGTTAACACTTGCCACTGTTGAAAGGTTCTATGTCTTTAATGGTCCGGCCTCATACCCGGTCCTCATCTGTTACTCTACCCCTGTATAATCACTAAATCATCATATTCTTTCAATTTTCTCCAATTAAATTCATTAGTATTGTTCTGTTCCATTTCCAAATACCGTTGATACGGTAAAAATCCATGAGGATTTGGAGATAATACTGACATGTTTGTTGTTTTGGCCGCCGCCCACCAGGTGTTTGATTAAATGCCTAGATGACTTATTCTATTATGTTATCATGGTTTTATCTGTATTTTATCATCGCTTCATTTTGTTTTCTTAATAAATTACTTTTACCTATTTCAGAAAAGTCAACCTAGGATGGGCTTCATGGTAAATTAAGAAGATTTGAGGGACCACAGAAGGTTGACGCCTCAACAGGTCTCGCCCATTTTCATTACTCTTTGATTTTAGAATACTTTTGATAAGGTTTGTTCAATTTAATGACCCCATCTGCATCTAGCTTAATTTATGAGATTAATTGTATGATTTAGGAACCCCATTAGTGTGCGAGGAGTACTCCTTATTGGAAGCAACTATGTTTGGATTTCGAGTTCATAAGCTTAAGTCTTCATTTTTCCTAATTAAGGGTCTCTCTACTATGTCTATGTGAGGGGTATTCCCTCATCATCTGATTTATGCTTCAGTTAGTATTTTTGTTTTGACATATATGATAATTCTAGACTTTCACCCACATATGTTGATCTGATTTTTTATTTTAAACACCTCTACTTTAAGTTAATTGCATATTTTAATGTTCTGGGTCCGATTACCTTGGTTTTAAAAACCAGAACATTGACTGTAATCCTGCTTTTATTGTTCTGGGTGACACCTTCTGATGTAAAGGATCAAGTTGATTTAGATGTGAAGGAAAACGTTGATTCTTATGTGTTTTGAATAAGTTTCAGATGGGAATGGAATGGTAATGTGAAGGTGGAGGTGAAAGTGGTTGGCCATGCAATGTTTGATACTTCTAAAGTAGAGAATATCATGTATGATTAAATTTTTATATTTGTTTTTCTTGATTAATATTTGTATCTTTGTTATGTACTATTTAGTATGATGGAATCAGAAAACAAATGGAATGGGAATGAAAGAAATTAGTTTTTAGTATATTAAGTTTTCTAATTTTCTAAAGAATAGTTTCTTATTTAGAATTATTTGTATTTTTCTTTTAGGGTTTTCATTTTAGAATCATCAAATTCTACCAAAGGGAAGAGACAGCTTCTTAAGCAATATGAATTTCATTCCCCTAATCAACAATATTTAGCCCGTTAATGGTACTTAATCATCTATCAGGTAGAAGCTTTCAAGATTCAAGTTTTTGATGATTATGTAGTAATTGTAGCATAAGTAACAGTTGTTGAATATCCTTTCTTTCCGAGTATCTTGCTGTACTTTTGTTTTAATATATGCATACCAACTTTGTATCTGTAACTAAGATAGCATTTCTGTTTGGTAAGATAATATAATAATTAATAATTTATTTTGTAAATTTTTCAGGTCAACTTTTTCAGAACTTTTATGCATTAAATGACCGCTTTCTATGCCGATTTTCCTGGTATGAATTACAATGGAATCGGAGTTCGCTATTCCATTCCATTGTATGTTTTGTTTCTACAAAAAATGGAATTCAATTATGTTATGTTCTTTTGGATATAAGTTTGTAACACATGGGATTTATGATTGCAGCAAACAATCTTTCTTTTCTTTCCAGACATGATTAAAGGCATGTTTTTGGCTGTAGTTATTGGACCACCTGTTGTGGTTGCCATCATTTTAATAGTACAGGTATTATTCTATCTCTGAGAAATTTCATTTGCCATGTCATCAAAAGTTGCCAGATGGACTATTATCTTTCATGTTTGAGTTGGTTCTCAACTTGTAGAAGAATAACATAAAATATTTTGGCATCTGAGTGTAAAAAATAATATTTGAACTCATAAGTTCCATAATAATACTTTATTGTGTTACATGTACTTTATTACTTACTCATAATATATAATTCAATCTGATTATTGATTATGTTTGGTGAGATCATGTTCTCTGTTCTTGATGCTGCATCTGATAGGGAACCAAAAGTGAGGACTTTTTTTCCCCCTGACACTTGAAATAACAAGGTAAGGAGAGCATTCTAAACATTCTGGAAACTTTAAAAGAAGAGGGAAATAGGGTCTTGTTCAATGCTTTAGCTGTGTTTGCTCTAAGGGAGATCAACTTATCAAAAGTAAGTTACTGTTTCACCCTTTTATTTAATATTTTTGTGATTGAATGAAAGTCTTAATGAAAGTAATTGACAACCCTTTCTCTGTAAATGATGTTGTGATTGTGGGAGAGGTGTTGTGTTTTTCTCTGTTGCTAGGTAACCTTCTCAACAACAACATTCTACTTAAGCAGGTGAGTAATCAAGATTAAGGGAGACTTGTAATCATGTTTGACATTCCTTTCCAGTAAGAAATAGAGTTGTATGATTATTTGTTAGTTTTATAGGAATGTATAACCCATGTTAGCAATGTATTATTTTTGTTTAACATTTGAATGATTCTTTGTATGACATTACAATTTGTGTAATTTATTTTATTTTTTGAGTATGAAATTTTATTTTATATTATGCAATGGATTGTATTTTTTGTATATGGTATTTTATTTCTATTATGAGAAATTAAATGAAAATTTAATTTAAAAATTAATAAATATATAAATTTATTTTTTTTAAACATTTAAATTTACGATACGCAAAAATGTGTGTCATCTTCATTTATGACATGGCCTTTCTTGACAGGGGCTTTCTTGATACGCATTGCGTGTCATTAACACGCGCGTCGTAAGGTTACGACACGCGAATGCGTGTCATCTTCCTTTATGACAGGGCCTTCCTTGATACGCATTGCGTGTCGTAAACGCGCGTCGTAATTGCGCGTCGTAAATGAGCGTCGTAAATGCGTGTCGTCTCTCTTTATGACAGGGCCTTCCTTGACACGCATTTGCGCGTCGTCTGAGCCTTTTACGATGCGCAATGAGCGTCGTAAAAGGCCTTTTTTCTTGTAGTGACTCTCTCTCTCTCCCCGTACGTCCGAGTGCGGGATATAATTCCTGGTAGTTATAATCAGAATCTCCTTGAGGGAGAACGTGATACTTGTATATAGATCTATATTGGGTTTGACACCCCACACCTTGCTGCTAGCTACAGTGGGACCTGCAGGTCTACGGGTGACAAATGTCATTTCATTTTCGCGACGCCTGAGAAACGTTGTGGCAGGTTCACATAGTCACAGTATGATTATAGCGACTCACCTAGGGAGTTAACAATTCATAAAGTTTACAGGATTTCATAAAACCGAAGTAGGTTTTAGGTTGATTAAAAATTTACTTTCCATATCATTTTAAACTCACGACATTTCTACTAAGTAATGATGATTTCTTATACATTTTGGCCTTTGGTTATAAGGCAACATTTTACGGATTTCAAGGAAAATATCGGATTTTTCTTAAACAAACGCGACATTTACATGTGAAAGACTTCTACTAAGATTATTAATAAAAGCTTATGAACTCACCAACCTTTGTGTTGACACTTTTCAAACAACTTGTATTCTCAGGAAAACACTAAACAGGTAATCAAGTGCTTTTGAGGATGGGACGTTAAGGCGTCAAACTTTTCATATTTTGACAACATATTGTAATTGATTTTGGAACATGTAATTCATACAAGTGATGTAACTTTTTCAATTATATATATGTTGGTTGTGTTTGCTTAAATTACTATTGAAATTGTGGTTATGATACTATACATGAAGTCCTCCACCCCCAGACGTTTCCGCCATCCTTGGTTTGGGGGTGTGACAGATATTCATGATTTGAGTAGAATGAAGTGAAATAATCATAAGGAGGATGAATTATACTTACTAAGAGTGGAAGAACACTTGAAAATCAGCCTTGAATCTCGAAATTGGAGTGGGAAAAGTTTGAGAGAAAAGTGGTGTTTGATACTTAGTGAAATGTGGGCAAATGAGAGAAATGAGGAGAGAGGATGTTTGTTCCAGCTCTAAAAACGTGGGAATGAGTGTAAATTGAGTGTAAGGGACATTGAAGTGACCTAGGTAAGGTGGGGAGGTATGGCTGGTCATAGAGTGGGTGTGGGGTAGTTGCTTGTGACATTGGATAAGGCAAAGTCAACACTCCACCTTTAATAATTCACCCATTTGATTTTTATTATTTAAATAATGATTTTCATCAAAATATGTTTAAATTATGAATATTTAGAGTTTATTATGTTAAAATATAATTTCTGGAGAAAATCCCGCTTTAAAATCACGAAAAATGGGCTTAAAATGTTAAAAATATCAAAAATGGGCTAAAAGTGACAAATTTCCGAATTCTGGCCGAGGTTCGGCCTTCTGATGCTGAAATCGAGAGGAGGGAGGGTAAAAACTGAGAGGGGAGAAGGGAGAGGGTAGGAACCGAGAGGGGAGAAAGGAGAGAGAGGGAACCGAGAGAGGAGAAGAGAGACCGAGAGAAGAGAAGAGACGGAAAGGAGAGAAGGAGCAGAGACCGAGAGGAAGGAAGAGAGAGCAAAGACCGAGAGGCGGGTAGAGACAGAGAGTGAAGAAGCGACAGAGAGGAGAGGAAGCAACAGAGAGGCGGAAGGCGAACAAAGAGTGAGAAGCGACAGAGACCGAGGCTCGGTCTCAGCTACAGTGATTCGGTCCTCCGGTTTCGGCCAACAGAGGCTCGGTTCATCCAGGAGAGAAGGCGACAGAGACAGAGAGGCGCGAAGAGAACAGAGAGGAGAGAAAGAAGCAGAGACCGAGAGGAGCAGAGACCGAGGCTCGGTCTCGCATGCCTCAGCCAACAGAGGCTCGGTTCTGGTCCTAAGAGGCCTCTCTTCTTGGTTTCGGTTCCTAAAGCCTATTTTTCTCGTTTTCGCCCCGTTTTAAGCCGTTTTTGACTCGGTTAAGGGACGGAATGACCCGAATGATTCTAAAAAGTTACGGGAACTATTTGAGGGAGATTTGGGAGAGATTTCTCATACTTGGAGAGATTTGGGAGAGATTTGACATTCTTGGAGAGATTTCTCATACAAAGAGATATTTGAGAGAGGTTTCACATACTTGGAGAGATTTGGGAGAGATTTGACATTCTTGGAGAGATTTCTCAAACAGAGAGATATTTGAGAGAGATTTGGGAGAGATTTCTCATACTTGGAGAGATTTGGGAGAGATTTGACATTCTTGGAGAGATTTCTCATACAAAGAGATATTTGAGAGAGGTTTGACATACTTGGAGAGATTTGGGAGAGATTTGACATTCTTGGAGAGATTTCTCATACAGAGAGATATTTGAGAGAGATTTGGGAGAGATTTGACATAGAGAGAGATAGAGTGAAAACGATTGAGAGAGGTTCCCTGTGAGACAATTGTGAGTGTCCGGCATCGCAATGCATGGTTCGTAAACCCTGTTAAGCCTTGTTTAAGGATCTTACACACTCCCGATGAGTATGCAACATTGTTTTATCGGTTTGGCTCGCCACGTACCACAGTTTTAGGTTAAGGAGATCTAGGTGTTCGCACTTTTTGCTTTATGATTTCTCATTAGAATAGGGAGTTATGTAGAAGTTTCATAGTGTAAATTTTAGTACCCAAGGGCAAATTGAGTCAAACGGTTTGACTTGCTGACTTTAGTTGACTTTGACTTGACCGAAATTTGACGGTTGTCACATCATCCCCCCGTTAGAGGGAATTTCGTCCCGAAATTTGAATTTAGGCAAGGAGTAGGCATGAATAATCAAGCCGAGAAGTGACGATACTTCCTAATCGACTGACTCACGCGCTCCCATGTGACTCTAGGTCCTTGGTTAGTATTCCAACGAACTTTCACTAATGGGAAGTGGCGTTGTTTCATCCGCTTGACCTCGGTCCATGGTCACCATGGTTCTTCCAAGAAGGTGAGGCTCTTGTGGAACTCGATCTCGTCGAGGGGAATTGCAAGAGTCTCGTCGGATAGATACTTCCTGTAAATTTTGGGATGTGTTGGGTAGGGTGTACTTTACCAAGCTCGCAGGAGTAGATTGAAGTAGTGAGTTACATGGCTGATTCTGATAAGAATTTCGGAAGACACAATTATTTGGGATATTGGCTTTCCATGCTTTCCGAAGCGTACTAAGCCTTCCCAGAGTGAGTGTCCCTAGAGGAATTTGGTCGGTTATACCGGCGTTCTAAAGGTTTCTTCTTCTTGTTTCTCTTCCTGTCAAGGGTTGCTCCCTTTAGGGTGAAAGTTGGGAGGGGGGTTCGTATTTTTCGAGAAGTTCCAAAGGAACTAAGACGGTAGATCAGCGAGACCCAGAATTTTGGCATATTTCTGCTAACGCCTTCGGTGCTGACTGTTTCTCAACGGTTTTGATCAATTGAAAGGGTCCTTATGAATTTTCACCTTGGTAACGATGTGTCTTGAGAATTGAACTCCTCAACTCCAAAACTCGTATCTAGAGAACTTCGGGTAATACTTCTCTGATCGTAATGCTTTCGTGGTTTGTTGTAGCTGTTCTCCTTGGTTTCCTTCTTACTACGAGGGTAGATAAGTAAGTCATTTGTAATGACGATGATGAACTGATCCTAGCAAGAAGGGTATATCCTATTTATTACGTTCATGACTCCAACGAGTGGTTTGGTCCTATCCGAGGGTTATCACTACGAACTTTCAGCGTCTGCATCGAAATTGGAGGATTGTTCTTGGATATCCTTCTTCAATACTCGTGACTGGTGATATTCAGATCTCAGGTCCAATTCCTGAAGGGTACCTCGTTTCTTGAGGTTGGTCGGCCTATTCGTCAATGCGAGGCAGATAGTAAAGGTTTCTATTAGAGATGTTGTCGGGGCCTCTAAAATCGATGGAATTGTGAGCAATTTGTCTTTCTAATTTGAAGAATAAGACGAGAGCTTTTCAGGGTGAAAAGCTTCGTTCTTCAATTTCATTGTTGAGTAGTTCGACATGTTTTCCCTGACAGCTCTTGTAGCTGGGTAGGAAGTATGTGGGTTTGGTTCACGCGACTATGACTTTTTGAATGGTAGGACATTTACTCGTCCTTCTGGGCAACCTTAGCCCGAAGCTCATG